ACACAGTGAAAGGAACACTTATAGGTGGAACATAAAGGAAGTCCAATTACATCTCCATGACAACCAAAGGCCAAGACTTGCGATCAATGCAAGGTAGTCATTTAATATGGAGAGTTGCCGCTCAAGTCTGTGGATTTCACTGATGCTTTTGCGACCTTAGGTGAGGTAAGGAGTATCTTTTCTGACTGCTTGGACAAAAATGATTGAATAGCTCAAGCTGGAGATGGATTCTTTTTAAAAGGGATCTCAATCTCAATTTATTATGTGTTGTTTAAACTAGAATTGAATGAAACCCTAAGAAAACCAAACAAGACAGCTACAAGAATTTCAGAAATCTTGTTTTGATATCGTTCTAAATATTCTTCTGGATTATTTACAGGAGACATAATAATGAGTAAACTGGACACCAAACAGGCTCCAACCCAGCAGGCCCTGCTAACATGACACCCATAGTGTTGGTCCAGCAGACTTCAACATTCATGCAGGCAAGTATTTCCCTCTGGCTGTCTATGAAGTGTCCCGCTTCACTACACACTGCAGCGCTAGATAATGCTTTTCTGTCTGTCTCCATTCATGGCATATTAATACTGTTTCTATGTCTTGAGAGAGAGGGAGGGGTCCGGGGCAGCAGGAATACTGTGAATGCTTCTCTTCACGGGAGACTGAAGTAGACCTAACTCAGGGCCGCTAGGACTCTTGCTCTAAAACAGACCACAGATTATATGTCCCCGGTGCCACATACAACAGCCACAATCCTCTGGACTTCCCTTTCTGAGGGATACTACTCCCTGCTGGTGTGGTTTGTGTTCCTGTTGGCTTCATTCATGAGCTGGTGAGTTGATGAAAAGATGAAGGGATGCATGGGATTACTTTTCTGGCTAATCATACAGGCAAGAGTGACCACCGTGTCTGTTATTAAGCCTGTAATGATGATTTGGTTCCATCAGGCTGGACGGATCAAGAGAGCTCAGTGTGTGAGTCAGTGAAGCGCTGCTCCGTGTCTGCCTCATTGTGGGGTTTCTCACAGGGCATGCCAGGGGCCTCTCAAGCTTTCCCACATTGGACAGAGAGGATGTGGAGGCGCAAAGCATGGCCTCCCCACAGAAGCCACTGTGACCTTGAAGCATAGTGTGGGGCCAAAGGGGCAGCTCAAGTGCCACAACAAAACCTGACTCACTATCAATGAAACTGAGTTCTACATCCAGCATGCAGCTGAGGCTGGGCAACAAACTTCAAAGTTTTTCTGTTAACTGAAAATGTGTTGAACACTGCGGGTCAATTTCTTAACCATGTACTTGTCTTTACTTTAATAAGACGGTTCCAGATTTAAATAACAATTTTCATTATTTTTCGAATAAAAGAGATAGCTTTTATTGCACTAAATAAATAAACACTCCAAACTAATATCCAAGGGAAGCAGACTCTTTGGTAAAAGTAGCAATGAATGAATGAATTTCTAATTTATAAACGATCCAGTACCTGATAACTGAAAAATAACATGGAAGAAGGGAAGTTGCAGTTTACTTCTGAAATGTGTATTAGAAGAATTAAGAGGCAGCAAATGTTAATATTCATGGAAAGTGTGTCAAATGTCTCAGTGCAGTAGTTGAATATGTGTCCTCTTTTACTTAAATTGACCATGGTAATATTGTTTACACCCGGTGCACTTTTATTCTTTCCTTTCAACACATCCAGGTTCTGTAACATCTAGAATCCAAAGGGACGATTCCCATATCTGAAGTGACCATCCCTCTGCCCTGGATCCCTCCTCTTCCTCTGACAGATAAGAAGAGATCCTCTGAGGGTGAACTTCACAGCAGTGTCAGTATAGTGCTTCTCCAGACTCGCCCCCCCCCCTTTTTGTGTCTATTTTCATGTGGTGCATTGAAACAATGCTCGGGCATGTTCGCACGTTCTCTGGACATTTTTTAACAGCAGGGCAAGAAAGGTTTCATAGTCTTGGAGGCCGATGCCAAGGGCAAATATAAATATTTACAACAAAGGCTCTCAACTGGTTTTGGATTCGAACTAAGTTTGACCTCAACGCTGATGGCATTGTTTAAAAAAATGGCACTTTTAAGTTTGACTGCAGGTGGAAAAAATGACTAAAATACAACATAAGATGACTGAATGTGAGAAAATGTGTATTTGAAGTCCACAACATATTGAATGATGCTCACATTAATGCTAATTAGTCTGTTTCTGAGACAAACTGTAGAACAAGCTAAGAATTGATGCACCTCTAGATGTGGTACATAGAGAGGTGCGGCCTGATCCTGTTAATAAACTGACTTCTGCCAAACCCACCTGCCCTTCATCTATCAGTCCAACATTAAGCACCACTACCCCACCTTACAGCAGCAGGAAAAAAATGAACCTTAAGGAAGGACTTTAAAAGATTTCAGTTTACCTGAAGCAAACATGAAGTTTATGAGATAAAAAAAAAACTCTCGTACATCTAAAATACTAAATCCGGTCGAGTCTCTGAAATCCACTGAAAGCAAATAAACTTTCATCCATATCCAACAAGTGATTATAAACCAGAAACATCAACCGTGCCACATCAGGAGGATGTGAGACAAAGATTTACTCAGTAATTTGAAGAGATTACATCACGACTCCTCCACATCCACACAGGGACAGAACATAACTGAATGACTCCTGGTGAAGTCTTCCCTGCCAGGCAAGGTATTTCATTTATGAATTCTTAGTCATCACATCGGTTCATTTCCTGCGCTGCAAAATAAATGTCATTACGGTCCAATGACATATCACATGTAGCTGCAATCAAGCTCCATAATGCTTCATAATCCCCTAAACGTCACCGTGTTTATCCCGTCAAGAGGCTGAATTACAGTGCTCGTCCGCAGTGTAATGGTGCAACCAGTGGAAACAAAAATACACCTCCCACCCAACTCATAATATTGTGTCAGTACCCTGAAATTGGGAGATTTCACAACACAAAGTTAATCTCAAAGACCCACTCGTCAAAAACATCACGCAAAAGTTGCAACAGAGGCGATTTCAAGCTGTACTTTATTCTTATTTTTGGAAAGTAGGCCGATCATGAAAAGTGTGGTGTGAGGATCACTTGAGCACTTCTGCTAAAACCCTTTCAGGATCCCAAGACAGAAATAACTGCTTTCTCTCAAAATAGGCAGGAGGAGATATGGACAGAGCGAGCAGATGATAACAGGTCTGCCTTTCTCTGCCATGTTGCCAAAGCACATCTTTTTTCTCTCTCCTCCCACGGTGTCATGAGATGGGGCTGCCTGACAACCAGATACTTGGACAGTGGTTTGGGACAGTGGTTTGGGACAGAGGTGGAACGTGTGCAGGCCAGACACACAGAGGTCAAGGAAGGCCTGTTCGTAGAGATGCCTCCGATACTGCAGAAAACACCAGCCTGGGTATCGTTGTGTGAGCAAATCTATTTGCCAATTCCAATACCACGTTTTTAACAGATTCTTTTCTTATTTTCCCAGAAATCACTTCTTCTTTGTCACTCCAAAACAGCAGTAGCACTGTACTGCCACTAACAAGTGGTGTGATTTCTGATAGCATTAGCCCGAGCTAGCTCAAATGTCAGCAGTTTGGCAATATTTCATGCTTGAAAGTCCCACAAGTAAAAGAGGGACGTGTAAGTCTTATTTATTTGATTATTTTTCCTGTTACGACATTTATTCTCTGTATGCATTTGCTTTTGAAAGGGTTTAACCTGAGCCGGGCCATACAACAATGACAGCAAACATCTGATCAGTACTCTGTCGGCCAACACGCAGAGTCCGGGTATCAGACACGGGAAGGAGAAAGTGCTACGGGAACATCTGTACCTCCTGGTACACAGTGAGATGACCACATCACTTGTAGCCTGAGTTTTCTTGACTGATACGTCTGATAACATGATACGACGAAACCTGTGAAGAGGAGAGCTTGTTGCGAAACGACACCGAAACTGAGGTATGGAGGAAATGTGCTGCAGCTCAATGAATCCTGATGGGATGAGTCAAGCTCCATGCAGACAGCATGCAGATATTTTTGGGGGTTGAAATATGACAAGCCAGGCTCTGCCGTGCCTCCTCAGCTTGGGTGATGCTTCTCTCTCTGGCCTTTAACAGGACTTTTCCTGGAGCCGAAATTCTGTTGTTGTTCCAACGAAGCAGCAGCGTCCATTCATAAATACATTAGTTTTTGAGAAACCCCCCCCCCCACAGTCCCTCATGGCACATATGTCACAAAAGGAACAATCCATGATGTTATGAGAGGGGAAATCACGATGAAGGCAAAGTCATGAAAACAAAAACTGAACACCCACAAGATTGAAATGGTATGTTCGGTTACACCCAAGACACACACACACACACACAGAGGAAGAGAGGAGAATATTAATCATTAAGAAGAGAAAAAACTTTGGGAGAGGTTGTGTGGAGGGGGAATACACACTCAGGAGACTGAGAGGAGGAACAACACAAAGCAGCTGCTGTGATCTGACAGAACATACGTGTTCAGAGTCAGGGGGCGACCTAATTCCTGTTGTGGGTCGCATGAATCCCCCTCCACCCATCCAGCGAGCTCCCCACCCTCCTCTCTGAACGTGTAACAACAAAGCGTTGATCAATAAAGTGTACTTTCCAGAGAGGCAGGGGCGACCTGGAGCCCCCCCACTGGCTTTTTGTTCCACTGCCGGGGACACACAACCGAATCACAGCCCCTGACTTCTCAAAAAGACCCGTTTAGTCCAGAGCCCCCAAAAGAAGGAAAATCCCTCCCTGCCTCCGAGCGACTTGTGAAATGTTCAACTCCCGAGCTCCTTGCACAATAGTGACGGTGGAGATACGAGGCAGGCGGAGGGGTGAGTGTGGCCTGCGAGAGGGGATGTGTGAGGGGGGCGAAGTGTGTGTTTGTGGGTGACACCGTGTTTCAACGTGCCGCTGCTACAGCGCCGTTGTAACAAGTGTGCTCCGGAGCTCCGCGCGACAAAAACAAGGGGAAAAACTCACCGCAACTCCCGAAGCGCCCGACAGGAGATTCAGAAAGACAAAGTGAAGCCAAGCTGGGGTTTGTCCTCTCCGTCTCTCCCACGCCTTTTCGGCCCCGGCCCCCGTCTCCACACCCCAGGAACCGAGAGTGAGCGAGCGGGGTGGGGGGGACCTGGGTGAGCCGAGGAGGGAAGCGCGATCTGGGACACACAAGTCAAACACTCCGCGGTGCGTTACTCCGCCACATCCAGGCAGGGAAGGCTCCCCCCGGCCCTGAAAGTCCTCCGGTCGCCCTCACGCACCGTCCCTCCGCGGGCTAATTTCGTCGGCCTTCCTGGGTAATAAATCCCACGGTTCTCTATCCGCTGTATCCGGGCGCGTCGGCCGACTGTTCTAGTCCGCCATGTTGTGTGTGTGTCTGCGGAGGAAGAATGGGAAGCAGCGGATTCCCAGGCCCCGTCTCTTCCCAGCGCACGTTCCAGCGCGGCCCACAGCGACACCGTCCGGCCGAGTCGAGTATCACACCAGGCCAGACTGTAGCCCTCACTCTGAGGGGTCCATGATGATGCTGGGGCCCCATAACTTCTACTCGAACACTTACTCATATTTACTGTGCTACTATTGAATATTGAATATTTGATTTACACTTCTAGAGAAATACATTAATGAGCATGATGAGCACCACAAAGTGCTTCACATGACCCCCCCCCCCCCAAATACACAGACACTTGCCCTGTTGTCACATTTAAAAAAAAAAAGATTAACATACAGCCGATGTGACACCAGGGCAAGTTAGTCTAATGCACAACTTTGTATAGCTTCAGTTGTTTATCTTTAAATCTGTATTTATATTTGGCTCCAGTACTCTGCCTCGGTTACTTGCGTCTTTCAATCACCTTCAAATATTTGTATTGTCAATATCTCCATTAGCACACGCTTCTTTACAGTGATAGCTTTGTAGTAGTTCTGGTGGTGAGACTTTCATCTCACTGTAGTGAACTTATTCTTGACCTATTTTGACCTTTTATTATTTTTATGTTCTTGTGTTTAAATGTGTTGTGTGCTGCTGGATTTGTTTTCATCTATGTTGGGTTGTATTTAATCTGGATCCTGAGTCTGAATAACAGATGTGATCATAGTGAGGAAATCTTTTATTTCCACCAGAATGTGTTTTTTCAACGTAAAATCAGAGAAAGATTTTACACACAAAACATATAAAACATGTTCCGTGTAAATTATTACACGTTACTATGGTTAAAGCACTCAACAGTATTTAAATGCAGCTCAAATTAGATCCACTTCAGCCGACTGCAACATTATGGCACCACTTACGCCTTAAACCCTTCATCAATATTGACAATAATTAATGGTGTAACAATGTCAGTGGGCATCCACCACTGCATAGAGAATACATTTACTTTTCAGAGTTTGGAGTGAATTTTACTGGAGTATATGATCTGTATACTTCTCTGGATGAAAAGTGTGTGAGGCTGCATCTTTCTGAAGGAGTATGGGAATAATCCCATAGTGACAATGTGACCGATGCATAGAGTTATTATTTATTGTTAATAGAGCAAATAATGCTTAGCTGGTGGAAAGGGCTTAAATTAATTCAAATATATTTAGAGTAACAAGTTCAGTAAGGGCTGACAGTAATATTTCAAAAGCATCCTTGAATTCCTTTCATACAGTTTCAACATTTATTATGTCAGAGGTTTTAATTTTTATATTGTATCAAAAGTGATCAAATATTAAATCTTGCTTGAACTCGAAACAAAGATGAGGCAGGGCCATAAAGCAAACACTGATAAGCTCATTAACTAATTCAAATGTTAAAAATCTGCATAACTCATGAAATTAATATGTTAAGTAAATATGTTTAAAAAAGTTGTATTAATGTATTTAAGTTGTAGTAATTTCTGCTTTTCTTAGTTTTCCATCATAGTAAACTACTGGTTGGGCTATACCAGTAATTTGACCATTTTATGAATCAAATATTTAATTAATAGAACAAATTGAGAGTGTAATAATTAGATGAAGACCTAGCCTGTGAATAAAAGTATAGTAAACTGTGCTTATTCAGGTTTTTGTTATCTTCTTTATCATGGTACATGTGTGGTGCCATCATGCAAAAAGTACCAATCCTTCGTGACACAGCTGGACAGACTCATGTTCACACTTTCTATCAACCCTCCAGTCCACCTGACACGTCTCAGCGAGGGTCTTGGCTCGGATGTGAGCTCCTCACACTGCGAGGTGGTGATGCGTGCTGACGGAGCCACCAGCAGCCCAGATGAACATTGAATAACTCTAAATACTGCATCTGTCTTCTATTAATGTTCACGCCAGGATTTTACACACTGTAGATGTCATATCTCTCTCTTTATTATTCATATCTCATAACAAATGAAGAAGCAATAAAACTGTAAGATAATAAATAATTTTAAAATATAAATACACAATGTTTGAACAGCGATTAATGTCCAGACATAAACCTGTAAGAGGCCCTGGTCAGAGAACAGTGTGACTGCTTGATGTTAAACCAGTTTAACACAATGGAACTATGTTGTGTGCTGATTCTAAGACTCTGGACCTTAAACCTGCATTAGATAAAGTTTACATATTTAAAGGAAATGCTCAACTGCAAAGCAGTGGTTATAGATATAATATCTCTGCTTTTCATCTGCATGTTACTATTTTTAAGAGGATGATGTGTGTGAGCTGTCACTGGAATATATTGTAAAATGAGTGTGTACAATCAGTCAAGAGATCTGTTTAACAGGAGGCAAATTAAAAAGAGTGTGTGTGCGTCTCAGCAGCTGACAGACATACAAACATGATGCTTAGACTGCCAGGTTAGCAATGACAGCCCGGGTGAACTCGTCGCTCGACGCGTAGCCCCCCAGGTCTCCAGTGCGCACCTGTTGCAAACATAAGGACAGTGTGTTACTATGTGCACAGCTGCAGCGACACATGTCCACATACAGTATCATGGGCAGTGTGTTAGAGAGCCTTTAAAAACTGCACTCAGAGGAATCAGTCACGACCTCTTTGGTTCAGAGACGAGAGAACAACGCAGCTGTAAAACATGCATCCAAAACCACAGTTGCTGACATAAAAAAAAAAAGAAGACATGATGTAATTTATTTAATACCACATCTCACGCTTGTTACCAGCTTCAATGTGCAAGAATGACATTTACATTGAAGATCTGTGGTCAAAGAGGAAATAAAAAGGATAAACATAAAAAGACATGACACTGTTTACACTGGGGGTGCTGAACATTCTCCGTCATGAACTACACAAGAGTATAATTACTTCAATGTTGCTTTATTTTGTTATTATTTGTGGTGAACCACTGACAACTATGATTTGCTGCTCACTAATACAAAAAGCATCGACAGACGTCATGATGAGAGAGCAGTGTTTTAATGTCTTACAGTATCTGTGAGAATGAGCAGCACCATATTAGGACAAAAGCTGTTCATATTGTTTTAATTGAAACAATGGTGGTTTTATCCATTTACACAAACAGAAAATGTACCAGTTTATAATTCAGCTTGTGTAGTTTCTTGGAGCCTGTGTAACATTATATTTTCTGTGGCTATGAAAGTGTAGAATTATTAACACTTATTATTATCATACATGAAAATGATTTCACAATAAATGGAGCAATATTTGTAAATTCTGTGAATGTTGAGTCTAAATATTATTGGTTTTCTCAACATTTGCTTGTTGCAGTTTCATGTTAAAATGTTGACATACTTCCTGTTGTATTAGTGTCAGAGCAAGAAACAAGCACTAAGCATGAGGGCAGGTTTGCCTCTGTGATTCATAAACAACATATGGGTTTTTATCAGTTTATATCACTATCACCAACTTCAGATTGTTCAGAGTAAAGAGGAAATATAACGAATTCAAATGTGAAGTCAGTTGTTGGTGACTTGTGAGGAAGGACTAGATGATCGATATAATGTATAAACTGTTGACAAAGATGGTGTGTTTTTCCACAGCTGAGTTTTAATGTGAGACAGCAGAGAGGTAGTCTATCTGGCCGATAAGGCTGAAACATTTTGACAATCAAGCAAAATCACATATAAATAGATGGATATAGCGCTTCCTCAGCCATGAAAATATTTAAAAATGAAAAAGTTGCAACATGATGGTCACTAACTATGTGTTCATGGAAAGGGGCGACAGAGGATCAGGGTGTTTGACATAAATCCTTAAGACGAAGCCCGAGCTGCACAAGTTTAATAAAGTAACACAAGGTCATGTGATTACACTGGATCTATCAACAAACCCAATACAAACATACACATAACTGATGGTGTTTGACAGGACAGTTATTGGGCAGTGAGAGGGGAGGTGAGTCTTAACATGAGTTCAGTTCATGTTAAGACAACGTCCGGATTTAAGGAAAAGTCAGCGAAGAACGAGACAAAACATCTTAGTAAACTGGTCTGTGACGCAGGTTTTCCACAACGGCACGCACAATATCGCCAGTGGTAGAATACCCGCCAAGGTCTCGTGTCCGTACCTGGGATGTGCACATGCACACACACAAACACACACACGTACACACACACACACAGGGCAGTAGGGTACAAGGAGAGGAGGGGGTTAAAGGAGAGGAAAGAGGGAGAGGAGTGGCACTTAACACAACATGGAGGCAAATTTTGCTTTCATTTAACATGCATTCCTCAAAAAACATATATAATCTCTCACATTCTCACAGAAGCTTCAAGTACAACACTATCCCCACTGATAAAACCAGCTTAAAGGGTTAGGGGTTATGAAAAGCAAAGAAAGAATGTCCAAAAGCTGCCACTACTGAAAGGCAATTTCTAGACAAGAATTCACCACGTCTTTAGGCAGAGGGACGAGGATTGACCCACTTAATATTAGTGTTTGTGTCAGTGTCAGTGTGTGCTAGTGTCAACAGGGATCAGGTGCTAAAAGCAGCTAAAAAGAATAGAATGCCCTGGTAAAAAATAGATTCAAGGTTCAATTGAGACAGGAAAAGAAATATAAGAGAGGAGCGAAGACTCATTGTGTACAATTTTAAAAGCATAATTAAAGGCTCTCTAACACAATGAAGAGTAGTGTGCAGGTTGTTAGTTGTAGTCATGTGTGGGTCAAGAACTACTAATATCACCTTTTGAGATTCAGTGTGTAAGATTTAGGTGAAAGGGATCTATAGGCAGGTGAAGTTGCATATTGCAGCTGAACACCCCTCACCTCACCCTCTCCTTCCAAACATGAAGAAGAACCTGTGGTAGCTTCAGTTGTCACAAAAACTCAAAGGTGTTTAGTTTGTCCAGTCTGGACTAATGTAAAAAACATGGCGGCCTCCGTAGAGAGGGTCCTCTTGATGCAAATATAAAGTATTTAAATATAAAGGGCCTTTTCTGGGGTAAAGAAAACTACAATTAATACAATTTAGATGAAACGAACTAGAAAACATCATGAGCATTATTCTATATTAAATTTCTGCCAAAAGTTCCCTTTCACCTAAATCTTACACACTGAACCTTTAAGCCATTTTGATATGACATGAAATTCAGAAAATGACAGGAAATTAGTTAATAATTAATTAGTAATTAGTAATTACAGTTATCTCTTCACATGTGAAGAACGTAGCAGGAGATTGTGCAGGTCAGACATGTTCACAGCAACAGGAAAATGTCTGCCGCATTCAGGCCAGGGGGACCATCTCAAGCACATTCGCAGCAGCTTCAGCCCTTATTGTCAAAAGCTCTGTGAGATGGCAGTTACTGACCCACAACACCAATGAGCGGCAAGTTAATTCAGAAACACATGCATTGGGGTTAAACAAGTCCTGTTGGCTTCACATATCCTCATTCTGCAGGATCACTAGTTGTTATGTTGTTAAACTGGTATCAACAAACAGAGGAATGTTTCCTTAACCTGTTAGTGCTGTCTGAGATGGATATGTTCACATTCACAGGGTCAAGGCAAAGTAACAGGCACACTCACTTACCTTGCCCTGTTTGATGACCTTCTTGACAGCATCTGACACCATTTGGGAGTGATATTCTAGGCTGCAACACAATACGGTGAGGATTAATGGGTGAGCAGAACTGTATTGTGCGCATGTCTCCACACAAACAGCCACTTATAGCTGTTTTCTAAAGCTGGAGATGTGTGGTAGACTGGGACAGATGAAAAGAAGGGTGCGGTGTAAAACATAGTGGACTTGTTACTACAAGGCCAAACAAGTTGACTCACTTGAGGTGCCTGAGCATGTTAGCAGAACTGAGCAGCATGGCTGTGGGGTTGGCGATATTCCTTCCTACAGCTTGTGCAAAGGGGTGGCGTGCACCCTGAGAGAGAAAAGGAAAAAAGGGCATAAAGAATGATATGATGACTGTTTAACGAGACAAGTAAAAGACTAAAGGAGGACCTGAATCAAAAGGAGCAGGTTGTCGTTAAAGTAAAAAAATTTTTTTTTTTAAGTAATTGCTATGGGATATTAAAGAGACACAATGCGAGCAATCCTAGCTTGCAGAATTTACCTGCACATCAGCAATTTGCAAAGACAACAGGGTCAGCAACATTTAATTGATTATCCATGTTGTGTTGTACAATGATAGCTGAGGCTATTGATGGTTCTTTTCTTCCGGAAGGGGGTCATGTGATAACAGCCTAACGATTTAGCGAAGGCTATGACATGACCCATAGAAAGACCCAATCAGGAAGCAGTTGCCAATGCCTACTTCGTCTTTTCCAAAAATCACAGTTTCTGCCCACCCAGACTAAAGGTAGACCAGGAGGTTTGATGCATTTTCAAACAAAAACGTATTGATATGGAAGTAGCCTTTGGCTGGTGACTTAAGGTGTATCAATTCTGGTAACATTTTTATAACAGATCTGAAAATCTGTCAATGAGGTCAAAGAGGGCTGTCAAATATTATGGAAGGTATCATAGTCATTTCCTACAGTATATGTGATTTTTCTCTTCCGTTTAGCTGTGGGGTGCACTGCAATGCACAAAGCAATTTCTAAAAGTGTATTAAATTTGCACTAATGGTTGTAATATGTTCCAGTTAGCAGATTTGCAGGAAAGGTCATTTGTGTGCGTTTTGTCATGATGTCACATGCCAGACTGTATTAAGCTTTGAACATGTAACAAACCCTCCTCTTTTCCACATCTAAAACATATATTTGACATCTCTGGTTTATATTTGTGTAATCTCTGAGATTAGAGTTGCTGAGGAAATTATTGACAGTGGCAGAAAAACTTTGACATAATTCTGACAAAAACTCTGCATCCATTGTAGATAGAATCCTGCAGTACTTTTGTATTTTTGTGTTAATAACAAATCTCTCAACATAGTAAAAAGGATTGGCAGAATGATGGGCAGCCTAAACTTTAAAGTCAATCAAAGAAAAGCTTGGAAAAGCTCAGTGAAAACTCACAGTCTCAAACACAGCATACTCTGCACTGTAGCTCTCCCCAGGAACGACTCCTGCTCCTCCAACCAGCCCTGCTGCCAGGTTGTCGATAATGTTACCGTACAGGTTTGGCATCACCAGCACATCAAACTGGTATGGGTTCTGGACCAACTGCAGCAATTACACAGATAGTGACAATTTTAAATATGATATCCGCTGAGTTTAGTCACACAGTAAACAAACAATAAGAAATAATTAAAATTAAGTTTCATGTTTTTTACAAAATGAAATACATATAAAGAAATATATTGAATTTACCCATATCATATTTAAAAGTGTCTTACACTATATCTTTATTTATCAAGTGAGGAGAGCAAACTGTATGAGTCTGTATGTACCTGCATGCAACAGTTATCAATGATTATGTTCTCATATTTGATTTTGGGGTACAGTTGTGCCACCTCCGCACAGCTCTGCAGAAACAGCCCATCACCCAATTTCCTGTAATAAGATTGGAGGAGAACAAGTATTGCCATGGCTGTAATGCAAATCAAGACCCAAATTACACACAAATTTAAAAAGAGTATGATTTCAAAATATATATTATACAAAAACTAAAAAAAGGAGGGCCGGGTTCTTTTCCCTTACATGATGTTGGCTTTGTGAACAGCAGTGACCTTGTTGCGCCCTTTCTTAGTGGCGTAATCAAAGGCGAACTTGGCGATGCGCCGTGACTTCTTTCTGGTGATGATCTTCAAACATTCGATCACACCAGTCACACTCTGCAGAGCAAGAAAATGGTCCATTCATTTTAATACAAACACTTTTAATAGAGGATGAAAGAAGAGAATGAAAAAAATGTTTAACCCTAAAAACAACAGATGCATTTTCAGTTTTCATATCGTGTCTGACAACACACTCTCTCAAATTTTAATGAATGAATCACATATCAATGAAATTCCCGTATTTGACCCATAGTTAATGAGTTACATTATCAGTGTTTTGTTTTAAGAATCACATTGCTATCAAGCTAATAATATACTGAGTCTACAGGACAGCTAAATTATTGTGAGTCGCAACAAATATTAACTCGCCAATGTGTGAGATAAAGTTCAAAATAAAAACTTCAATAAAACCATTTCAGCACATCTGTCACAATTCGTCTTCTTTGTTTTGTTACCTAATTTAATGTTGACTAAATCGCTGTCTACATTGGAAATCTCTCTTCAAAGGAAAAATAATGTTTCCTTTTCATACTGACTTAAAACAACTGTTTGTTTGGTGCCTGCAGTGAGGAGGAGGATGAGGAGGAGTATGAGGAGGAGGATGAGGAGGAGTGTTGTTTACCTCATGCTCCAGTGAGCTGTACTCCCCCTCGGTTTGTTCACGGATGATGACCAGGTCCAGATTGTTGTGGCGAGTGCTGTAGCCCGGCAGGCTGTTCACATGAACCACGTTAGCAAACAGGTCCAGTTTACGCCTGCGGAATGGACATGCACGGTTCATTTAAAAGAGAAGAAAAGAAAAGAAAAAACTAAAATATACAAATATACAACCGACTTCAGTGTTTTACCTCAGTCTCATCTCATATGAAGCCAGTTCCCCTTTGAACTCCATGGGCGTGTGAATCTTTCCTGGACAACCACACACATACCACAAACATATACTTTAGATTCATTTGCTTCTTCTTAAAATGTTGAGCCATTGTTCTTTATTTCAGGAACATTACTGCATCACTTTAACTGCCTCACATTTCCTCTGGGTATGAAACCAAGATGAACAATGAGAGGATGACGAAAAAAGGAAAAAGCAAAGCAACCTTTCATAGCCACTTTGGTGGTCCTCATAGAATTCAGCACTTGGTCCAGTTTCTCCTCACTGGCCATGTTCTGCACCTCGCTCAGGTGGAACTCCTCAAACTCCACAGGGACATCTCCTGCCTGGAGACAGAACAGAAACAAGCAAAAAAACGACTTTAAGAGTGACAATTTAATATAATATAATACATTTTTTCAAATCATTGACATGACATGCTTAATTTTTTGCTTAAAGGCATTTTTTTGTTTCATTGACAAGGCAGACAGGAAACATGGGGTAACAAATGGGCATGACATGTAACAGAGGTCCACAGCTGGCTGCATGTGGCACATTGTGGAAACAATCCCCACCAGATCGCTTCTATGTGTACATTTTTTAAGCTCTTGTTCGTTTGGGAACATCGCTGCCATTTAAGGTTATTAAAGTGGAAGATGGTACAATATCTGCTCTGGTTCAGTCTGATACATAGTATTTCTAACTTCTTCACCCCTTTAGATTCACATTTAAGGAAAAGCAAATGCATTTAATTTTGTATAAGTATCTGACACTTGAACATTTCTTGATATTGAATTGGAATTTTTATTTATTAGACAAAAAAATTAATAAATTCAAATATACCTTGAATACATCCTTGACAGCAGTCATCAGCTCGGGTCCCACTCCATCCCCCGGTACCATAGTAACCTTGAAGGTAGCATCTGCACGGGCAGGTGGGGCTTCTGGACCACAGAGACCAGCTGATAAACTCAGAGGTCGAGAGGCCAGCTGCTGCCACCGGGGGCCACTCAGGCTCTGGAGGACGGGGGAAAAAAGACAGTCACAGCATTTAAGAGGACGAGTAACACGCATATGTAAGACCATAGCAACATCTGGAACATGACTAAAGCCATAACCTTACTTGTGACCCCATGAAACAATGCGTATCGACTCGTGACACATTTTGGATATGAGATGTGGGCAGTTTCAAAGTTGAACTCTCCTTACATTTATTCTCTTTATAATTTTTAAGGATTGAAGAGATAAAACTATCCTCCTCACAGATGTTGACCTCTGCCACCAGCAAGTTACAGTTTATAACCATTTCTGTCAGATTGATGTACTTTATGCAAAAGTATTTTAATAAAAGCCACTAAGTGTATTTTCAGAACATTAAGATGGACGGATGGAAACCCTGAAATCATAAAGACTTTTTGCCACAGCACAAAGCTAGACAAAAAAGAAAATAACAGTTGTAAACATGGCTGAGCTGTTTTATAATATTTCATAGACAAAACTAATTGATTAATTCACTGCTGGCAGATTAATTGATAGTTAAAATAACTACAATACAACCCAAGAGTGTAGCAGGAATTTCTTTCCTCTGTTTTTCCTGCACTGTTACTGTGAATGACAAACAATATATGAGATGTTTTTAGGGGAAGACTGGATTTACATATTATTTTGCATCAATATCAATAATTTTCTTTACTGGAATTGCCTAAACAAAGGCTGCTGTCTAGTCATTCGTAAAATATAATGGGTTTGTATTAATTGATTGGCAAGAATATGAATTAAAATTACATATAATGTGATAATTTGATGGTGGACTTTATTTGTATCATTTACTCATTGTCACAATGAACCCAGTTTTAATGGAATAGATAATACTGAGGCAGAGAGAGATCCTGAATGATCATACATCCAAATGACAGTTCCTCAGGTCATCATCACCGAAGGTTTTAAGGTGAACAAGTTCATATATGTCAGTTTCAGACGTGTTGGTTCCTACTGACATTTTAAGGCGACTGAGACATTTATAAACTTAAATGATCACATCAGATGCACATTATCTGCAGAGGTTGCTCAGACTCATCCGGTCTGACAGTTAGCTGGTTTAGCTATGGTGAGCCCGTTATAAGAAGTGTGCTGTTGTCAGTTAGCCACTTTAGCTAACATAAAGACACAGTTTTAACTGATGAGTTTGACTCTGATACTCACAAACCAAAGCCAGTCAGGCTGTGGTTCCTCCTAAAGCAGCGGATAAAGAGAACTGCAGCCACAGAGCACTTTGCCATCTTTAATGCGGAGGCGAGAGAAGAGGATGTGTCAATGAGAGAAGCTCATGATTAGCAATGACACATAAACTAACTCTCTTCCCTTGACACTTTATAAAAACATGGCGCCCGACTTTAACCAGATGCATCTTCAAGTGCCGCGGCTCATTCGCCACCTTTGCGTTGTCTGAATAAGCTTGTAAACATCATATGTACACTCACCTTGACCAATGTTACCAAGCTTCCCCTCAATGCGGCCGCCATGGTCTCACGGTCAGTAACGGAACTGCTTCTTCTGCGGCGCTGCAGTGGTTCAGCAGAGCTGACTAGGTGACAACACTGCCCCCAGCCGGAGGGAGGAGAACGTTTGTTTAACCCTCTTTATATACAGTCCATGGTTTAACCCCAGAAAACCTGAATCTACATTTTAGAGAATGACAGAACAGAAAGGGAACTTTTTCTACGAACATGAAATGATCCAACCTGTTTTTTTATCAAGGACAAAGAAAGGATTTGAAGCCACACGGGGCAAAGAGAGGACAATAATCTTTCACGGGCTGTTAGATGTTTGTCGGAGGAAGAGGATACGCTTAAAACACAATATCATTGCTTGTCATTGTTCTAGTGATGCCAGTACTTGGCAAAACAATAACTCAAATTTTTGGCGTCCACTCATTCATTGTGACAGTAATTTTACATTTCAGAGGGGAAAAAACGCAGAACAAAAACGAACACAAATTATTAAATATTACATTTAAATAGCCTAAATAGCTCTAAAACTGAAACTCATACATTTCACAAACAGCGTCTTCACAAAAACAGTCAGACTCATAAACAAATCTTTGCTTGAACCGTGTTAGTTATGTTGTTATGAGTAGTGTTCTCACACACAGGATGTTTCAGGATGTAAGAAATGTGAGCGCTAAATATTTGTGTGGAAAGTGAAATGAGCAGAGCGTGATCCACTGCATTGATGCAGCCAGGTCACAGGGGTTGGTTGCTTCGTGCACTCGAAGGTTCAGTGCAGCGAACAATAAACATGCATCAGGTGTCACTTTCTTAGATGCAATAAAAACTAGTGCTTGAGCTTGTAGTTTATGGCTGTTCCAAATAATAAATCATATAATGTGATAAAATGCATGACATCTTCTCAGGGGATCACGTGTTATTATAGATGACACATCTGATATGATGTCATCAAAGTAAACGAGACAACATTAGTTTTCAATATGAGGGAGAATAAAAAAAGTGGAGGAGGCCTTGGCGCAACATCCTGGGTGTAAAAATAAAAACCATAGAAGAAGAAGTGACGTCATTGCGCATGACTCTGAACTACCAGAGATAAAGATGGACGACAGAAGTGTCTATCCTCCGCAGCTAGCGGAACCAGACGCTCTAAATAACACTACTAGTTTCCCTAACGCGGCTTCTGTGACAGATGCTGACAAAGTAATAAACACTAAACTAGATAGTTCCCAGGTTGAAGGTGAGTTTTGTTGAATGTGAAAATTCAATTCAACCGCGTGGCGTTGTACCCGCCGAGCCAACGTTAGCGCCTTTAGCTAACCGGCTAGCCAGCTCCGCAGCCGAGTGAGCTAGCTCCTTAGCTAAACCCGCTAATGCTAGCTGTGCGACGCTAGCTTAAACGCTGGGAAATGTCTCATTGTGTTGTACCGGGACCCTGTTGATCCTCAGTGCAGCCCGATCGCTCCACCACACAGAGTCAGGGGCTGCTCGTGTTCACAGGTCTGTGGCTGTCGATCCCCCTGCACAGAAAACCTCTCTGACCATTTAAACTACTGCCTCATGCTGGTAGTACAACCTCTGGTTGGGGATCGAACAGGTTTTGAGAGCGGAGGGCGGTCATCAAATACATACTTGTCAGTGGGTGACATTGACTCTCACCCCTCTGCCAATACATGATAACTTAGTACTAAGTGCTATGACTGTAGTTGTGTGTGAACATATGGTGTTCTGGTAGGCAGGTAGTGTGGAGGCTCTCACACCCTCATCAGCTGAGTCGTCATTCATCAGAATCAGCCACTCTCTGTGGCCTCACCCAGCGGTGGGATAACATTACTGTCAAGATGAGGGTGTGACCTGGAAACATTTGCTCCTATTTAAAGGTTTGAAACCTGATTTGAGATACAGCAGTTGCACTCTCTGTTGTCTTGTTAACTTCTACTGTGGTTATCATTTGGTGAGTACAATATTTGACATGTATCAGCAGACATGAATATTTCAGGAAGAATCCATCAGCCTCTATACACAGGTGTACTGTCGGGCATCCCAAAGTTATGGACACAGAGAATTGCCTTATTTTAGGAACTCGTGAAAATTTTAAATTTTCCTTAGTCCTTAACGCCATCGTCTTATTTTCCCTAATATCAGTTTCACACCTGACAGAGCTGTGATGGCCGTTTTCAGCACTGAGAAATACAGCAGCTATTAATGATTTATTCGCCTTAAAAGTAATTTTAATTTTGCAAAAAGTGCTTGAATAGAATAAAAGCAATTGCAGTTGAAGCACTGACAAACATTTTAATAATAACTCCATATGACCACCAGTCATAAAAGCGTTAATAATTTATAGCCTATGATTACAGCATGCCATATCAAATCACACACCAAACTATATCATGGTTAAATTATGACGATGTGTGAAGTTATAAGTCAGGCTCTTTTTATTGATTTATCTTTATAGCTCTCAGAATGAAACTCCCATTCAAAAATAGCTTTTTCACAAAAAAAGCCACGCTCATAAAAAAATCTTGTCTCAAACGATTGAGCTGGTAAGAGTAGTTCCCAAGCATAGTGTTGTTGCAGGATGTCAGAAATGTTTCAGTGCTGAATGACTGAAAATGAGCAGAGCGTGATCCACTGTATTAAAGCAGCCAGGCCGAAGTGGTTGACCTCTTCATGCACTCAAACGTTCAATGCAGTGAACAATAAACATGCATCTGTCATGCAATCATGCAACAAGTAGAATGAGGCAGTCATTATATATGCTACAAGTGGTTAAGAGGTTAATGTTATATAAGTATATTTCAATTAGCCCTTTTTTATTCAGAAATAAAAATGAATCCTTGATTGATCCAAATCATCTTATATGGAGCAACAGTCAGATGGTTTTTAATATACACTTATTATTTAAATACAGGTTTGCATTATCTAGAAGGCTGTGAAATGAAGGTTTTAACCATTTTCTGTTGAAATTATTTTATAGACCTTTTTTTTTTCATAAATACTTTTCCCCTTGTTCACTTGGGTTTATTCTTGACAGTGAAAGTTTGCTCTCCCACACAGGAGACAAGAATGAAGAGGAGCTACTAAAGGGCCTCCTCACTGACGACTACTGCCACGTGTGTGAGGCTGTGCTGCTGTTTGAATCTCAGCGGCTGTCCCACTATGAAGTGTGTGCAGCTTCGCATTGGCTTGTTGCCCATTTTCACCTCAGGAGGTCAGAACATTAATATTAACAACATATCCTGTATCCTCCAATGGCAGGGAAAGAAGCATGCTCAGAAACTCAAGGTGTACCTTCAGACCAAGAGAGCTGAGAAGTTAAACAAAGAGTCTACAGTTCCCCAGGTCAGTGCTCATTTTCATTCTTACTCATTTTATATATAGGAAGGAAAGCAGAGCACAAGCAGTTGTGTCCTTTTAGAGGAGCAAAGTCACATCTGAGGATGCCTGAACAAGCATTTTGTGTTAAATGAAAGCAGCTAAAAGTTGCAGTGATGTTTATACACTGCTTTCAGAAAGTATTCAGACTCCCTCACTTTTTATACATTTTGTTATGTTGCTTTCATAAACCATTAACCATCATCTGATGAAATTGTATGGTCTCAATTCTAAATTGCATGTCTGGAGGAAACCAGGCAGTGCTGATCACCTGCCCAATACCATTCCAACAGTGTCTGCAGTATCACGGCAGAGACTGTTGGTGGTTGCGGGAATGGAGCAAAGTACAGAGATAAGCCTCATGCAAACCTGGTCCAGACAGAGCACACAGGACCTCACACTGGCCCTCACACTGGCCTGACGGTTCAATGCAGTACAATGATCCTTGTTCAGACAGCGCAGGAGTGGCCCAAACATCTCTGGAGAGACATGAAAATGGCTGTCCACTGACAGTCCCCATCCAACCTGACAGAGCTGGAGAGGATCTGTAGAGAATAATGAGAAAATCTAACCCAGATCAAATCCAGGTTTGTCATGCAAAACTGTAATGGACTGACTAAAGGATGTGAATACTTGTGTCAGTGGATATTTTACTTTTCCCTCTTTAATTTGCAAACATTTCTAAAATTCATGCAGTACTGAGTGGAAACCCATAAGTTTTAGCTAAATAATCTTATCATACGGATACAACATAACAAAATGAACACTAAAGGAATCTGGATTCTTCCTGAATGTCTTGTATGCAAACTGTATACATTGGTTAAACTGATCTAAGATGTCTTGATAGCTTGTTTACTACTTGAATCATTTTGTGCCAGAAAGCGTATTCAGCCTGTTCTTGTGCCTGCTCTTTTGCAGAGGACCATGCCTTCTGATAAGGACCGTTTCTGTGAGCTGTGTAACATGGTGTTTAGTTCCCACTTGGTGGCAAAATGTCACTATGAAGGCAAAATCCATGCAAAAAATCTTCGAAAACAAGGTCTCCAGTCCCCGGGAAATTGTAGGTTGTGTGATGGAAACACATCGTAGACTATTTTCATTTTAATATTAACAGATAGACTGTAAATTTTCTTTATGATATGATTCAACTGAAGTTATGAAACTCATGTGGGAAAACACACATTGACTTAAATGGGTAACTTCTCATTCTAGTCTTACACAGGCACACAGACGTGTGTACTTTACCAAGGCTGACTCACCAGGCTGAAAATGCTGATCAGAAGTCACCTCCAGAGGGGGATGTGGAGCATCATGAGGCCCCAACAGCCACCATAACTACCGCCAGCACAGAGGTTGATCTGAAGGACCCGCACAAGTACTGCCCTCTTTGTGCAGCTTCCTTCAACAACCCTCAAATGGCTCTTCAGCACTACAATGGACGCAAACACCAGAGAAATCAAGCCAAACATGAGCTGATCAAAGAGCTGGGAGACGATGTTCAACAGGGTAACGCACGACAATTAAGTTTAGTCAAATGTGATTTTACGTGTATGTTAAGAGGTAATATTGATTTAAAAGAACCTATTATATTTTTTTTAGACACTAAAGGCACAAAATGTTCTTGTACACAATAAATAACACAAGTAGAAGCTGGCAACAGCACTGCAGCCCAAACAAGCATATAAATGAAGATAAAGAGGAAAAACTATATGGCACTTAGTA